TAGCAACAGCACCTGAAAGACACACCATAAAAAAGTGCAGACTTTTCCTTGCTCCTTATCTGGGATCTCTACCTCTACTATACCTTAAGTCATCTCAACAGCCTCCACTGAAAGGGATGATGGTATAGCAATGGGTGCCACAATCTGCTAGAAATACATCGTCTGTTGTTTCACCAGGAAAATTTCTCTACCCCACTTGCTGAACCATAAAAAAAAAAAATACTGTCCCACCCATCCACATGCTCAGCATTTAAATGCAAGCTTGGCCAAATTGCTAGCGTTACAACTGCTGCCTTTCCATCTGGTGGACTCTTCTGTGAATTTGTGGAATGTGCTGTACCTCAGTGGCAGGTTCCAAAAGTAAATTTCTTTTCACATAAGGACATTCCAGCTCTGTGCCATCATGTGGAAAGCAATATTTTGGCCTCATTGGACAGGATGGACAGCAGCAAGGTCCACACTACTGCTGACATTTGGTGCAGCAGGCATGGTCAGGGACGTTACATTTCCTTCACATCACACTGGGTAACTCTGCTTGCAGCTGCGAAGGATGCAGGACAGGGTTCAGTGCTGGAGCTTGTCCTGCCACCACGCCTCCAAAAAGCTGGTGGTGATTCTGCCACATCTGTCTGCTCCCCCTCCCCCTCCCCCCCTTCCTCTATGGCCTCTTCTGCTGAATTGTCCTTTTAACCAGCAGTGCTCTAAGTGGTCAAGGGGCTGCGCAAGCAGTCAGGCTAAACAATGCCATGCGGTGCTTGAGCTGGTCTGTCTAGGGGACAGGAGCCACACCGGGCTAGAGATTCAGCTCTGCAGGGGCAAGCTCAGAGGTGGTTGATGGCATGGCAGCTTGAGGCAGGAATGGTTGAATGCGAAAATGGCACCAACCTTCTCTCTGCCATCCAACAGGGACACTTGACACATGTTCCATACTTGGCACACTTCCTGAATTTGGTGGTGCAGCATTTCTTGAACAGGTACCCAGGCTTACAAGATCTTCTGAGGCAGGCCAGAAAAGTCTCAGGCCAGTGTTTAGCTGGCTGACATTCAATAGGAATTCAACTTGCCCACCAACCACCTAATTTGTGACATGCCCACCAGGTGGAACTCAACAGTGTCTGTGTGAGTATGGCACAAGGACAGGCTCAGAGGAGCTTGGCTTCTTTTCGCCACGCCAATGGCTGCTGATAAAGGATGCATGCACTGTCCTGTCACCATTTGAGGAGGCCATAAGTATGGTGAGCTGCGACAATGCATGCATCAATGACACTATCCCTCTAGTCTTCCTGCTAAAGCACACGCTGCATGGACAGGGACAGGGCACTTGAGGCAGAACAGCGAGAGAAAGAGAAGTACTTCCTTTCTTCACAAGGCCCCCTTTATGTAGATACCATTCTTGCGGGGCCTCAGAACAGACAGGAGGAAGAGGAGGAGGATTGTGGCAGCATGGAAGTAGAGCATAACATATGGCAGTGTTCAGTGTTTTCATGGCAGGAGTGGCTGGGAGGAGGTAGTTCCTGACAGTGTTATCTTCATTTACCCATAGGACTCAGAATCTCATGCCTTCTCAAACTTACTCTGCATGGGCTCCCTGATTCTGTAAAGCCTGAAAAAGGACCTGAGGATTTGTGGTATCAAGGAGTGGGATCATCACTGGTTGGCAATCCTTCTTCATCCATGTCACAAGGGTAAAGTTGCAAAGCTTATCCTGCCTTTGCAGACGGAGCAGAGGATGAAACACCTTCAGGATGGCTTGAAGAATAAATTGTGTAAAACATAGGTGTCAAACTGGTGGCCCTCCAGCTGTTGCCAAACTACAAGTCCCATGAGGCATTGCAAGATTGACAGTTACAAGTATGACTCCCAAAGGCAGATGCATGATGGGACTTGTAGTTTTGCAACAGCTGGATGGCTGCCAGTTTGACACCCCAGGTGTAAAAACTTTCCAGGTAATGGGAGGTTAGAATTTCCTGGACAACGTATTTCTGAGATTTCATCTGGTCAAAGGAAGAGCGGTGAAGAAGGCGGCCAGCTGACCGATGCCTTTAAACAATTCTTTAGTCCTCAGCACCAAGGACTGTTAGGTTTAAGTACCCATCGACAGTGTCTGCACTATATGGTGCAGGATTATCTAGGGGCAAGAGCAGACTTGGAGACCTTTTCCAAGTGAGGATCCAATGGGTTACTGGGTGTTGAAGATGGATCACTGGCCAGAGCTTGCTCAATATTTAATCGAGCTGCATCCAGCGTGCTTTCCGAACAAACATTCAGTGCTACTGGCGTCTACAAACATTCAGTGCTACTGGCGTCTTCAGTGCTACTGGCGTCTACAGACTCCATAGACAGGCTGACATTTATCAAACTGAATCAGTCCTGGATCAACAGCAACTATCTTGCCCCTGATGCTGATGTAACTGATTACATTTGTTAGGGTTCTGGGATTCCTTGAAGACTGCCTATGCTGCCTATCCTATTCCTGAATCCTGATTATGCTAGCTTCCAACAATGTATTTTGTTTAGGGCACCACCAACAGGTGCATGTAATTTCAATGTTTTACAATTTTTAACAGAGTAACTGTGAAGGGGTTACAGTGTTCAGGCACCATCAACATCCAAGGCCCAATTTTTCTGCACCTGTTTGACAGGTGCATCTAATTTAAATTGTTTACAATATTTTTCTAATTTTTAACAATTTTGTAACAACAGGGCCCATTCCTGCGCTCACCAAGAGTAACTGTAAGGGGTTACAGTGCAGAGGCACCAACACCCAAGGCCCATTTTCTCAACACACTTTGTGACCGGCGCATATAATTAGAATTTTTAGAGCAATCCTGCACTCGTGAAGAATAACTCTGAAGGGTTTCAGTGTGAAGGCATCACCAGCCATTCGCCCGCCAAAAACCCCACAATGCACTGCGCTCTCACAGTGCACAGTCCCCCCAAAAATATATATAAATAAATATTAATAATTGTAAAAAAAAAAATAAAAAAAACCAAATAAAAATACTACAAAAAAAACAGTAACTTTTTTTTTAAAGTGCGCGGGGTTCCCCCTAAAAGCCATACCAGGCCCTTTAGGCCTGTTAGAATTTTTAAGGGGAACCCCACCCCCAACAAATGGGGAAAAAGTGTGGGGTCCCCACTAAAATGAGCACAGGCCTTGCAGGCCAGAAGAGGGGTGGGGGCGAATGAGCATCCACCCCTCCCTGCGGCTTACCAGGTCATGTGCCCTTGGCATTGGTGTTGCCGTTGTTGTTGCCATTCTGATGGGGGCAAGGGCCTCTTCCCCACAACCCTTGCCCAGTGGTTGTGGGGGCCTGTGGGGAGGGGGGCTCATGAGCATCAGGGTACCCCTTTTAGTAAGGGGGCACCCTGATGTTGCCCCCTTGTGAATGAGTAAGGGGTACTTGTACCCCTACCAATTCACTAAAGGGTTAAATGTAGTAAAAAGTAAAGAGGCCAGTCTTTAGAAAAAACCCTTTATTGAACAAATAACATAACAAATATTTTTGACAAGTCCTTTATTAAAAAAATAAAAAAACAAAAAATATGGTTCCATCTTTGTAATCCATTATCAATCATGGCATTCAGCGTTGTCACGATGCTGCCAATTTGCTGAAATTAAAAAAAAAAAAAAACAATGCCCGCACCCGCCGAGAACTTGCCACATCTGACAGGTCTGACATTTGCGAGTCAGATGTAAACAATTGGGTGGAGTGGAGGAGCAAGTGGTGGTGTCACCAGTAGCTCTGCCCAATTGCTTGCGCCTGTCCTGCAGCTGTCAGAACTGTCATCAACAATTGGACATAGCTATTCCCCGTTTACATTCCCGCTACCTCCGCCCAATTGTTCATACCAGTTGGCGGTCAGATGTAAGCAATTGGGCAGAGCTAGCGGTGATGCTAGCTCCACCCAATTGTTTACATCTGACCAGCAACTGTCAGGCCTGGCAGATGTGCTGCGAGTGCTCGATGGGCTTCAGGTTTTTGTATTCCGGCAAGTCAGCATCGTCCTGACAACACTGGATGATTGATGATGGATTACAATGATGGACCCATTTTTTTTTTTTTAAATAAAGGATTTGTCAAAAACATGTTGGCTTGGTATGGTTCGGGGAGGGGGGGCGCTCCTTCATCCCCCCCTTTCCTGTCCTGCCAGGCCTGTGCTCGGATCATGGGTCTGGTAGGAATTTAGGGGGGAACCCATGCTTTTCCCCTCCATTTTTTGGGGGTGGGGTTCCCCTAAAAGTCCTACCAGGCCTAAAGTGCCTGGTAGGACGTAAAATTTTTTACTGTGGGGTCCAGGGGTGGACTGACAACTCATGGGGCCCCCGGGCAATAGGGGATCATGGGGCCCCTGTGTCCTTGCCCAAAATCAAAAAAACCTAAAGGGTCTGTTATGGATCGGGGGGGGGGGGGGGGTGTTTTTTTTTTTTTTTCAATGTCAGTCCTCCTGCAGCAGGTTCGATACATTGCACAGATGTGCAACCTTGCAGGTAGTTTAAGGGGAGCCTACAGTCATGATATTTAACCACAAGCCTACAGGGCACTTATACCCCCTTCCTGCCCAGGCCAATTTCCAGGTTTCAGCGCTGTCGCACTTTGAGTGACAATTGCACGGTCATGCAACACTGTTCCCATATGACATTTTTATCCTTTGTGACAGATAGAGCTTTATTTTGGTGGTATTTAATCACCTCTGGGTTTTTTATTTTTTCTTAAACAAACCAAAAACCACTGAAAAATTTTTTTAAATTTTGTAAATAAGTGATTTTTCTCCTTCACTGATGTGCGCTAATGAGGCTGCAGTGATGGGCACTGATAGGCTGCATTGATGGACACTGATAGGTGGCACTGATGGGCACTGATGAGGAGGCACTGGTAGGTGGCACTGATGGGCATTGACAGGCATCACTGATGGGCACTGAAAGGCAGCACTGATACATGGCACTGATAGGCATTGACTGGCACTGTTAGGCAGCACTGACTGGCACTGTTAGGCGGCACTGCCAGGCACTGATAGGCGACACTGATGCACACTGACAGGCGGCACTGACTGGCACTGATAGGCGGCACTGACTGGCACTGATAGGTGGCACTGAATGGCAGCTCAGATGGGCACTGATATCTGGCATTGATGTGCACTGGTAGGCACTGATATGTGGCATTGATGTGGCACTGATGGGCACTGGCACGAGTCACTGATGAGCACTGACACTAGGCACTGATGGACACTGACAGGTGGCACTGCTGGGGCTATACTGATAATCAGTGCCCTGATGATCAGTGTACATGTCCCCTCCGCGGAAAGCCGATTACCGGCTCTCCTCTCTTCTCGAGCTGTCAGCGTGACCTGTCAGAGGGACACATTGAGTTTGAAGTTCGGGGTTGAACTTCCGACCACGAACCGAACAGGGGGATGTTTAGCCCATCACTAATTAACACATAACTCTACTGTGGTGTTTATTAAATATGTGTTTTATTTTGACAAAGTAAATGTTTCTGCTAAGGTGCCAGTGTCCAGATCAGGGGCGGACTGACCATTTGGAAACTCGGGCCCTGCCCGAGGACCCAGTGTCAGTAGGGGGCCCCATGAGATGCCCCTGGTACCTTTTTCATAGGCTTTTTTGAGTTTGGGCAAGGACACAGGGGCCCCATGATCCCCTATTGCCCGGGGGCCCCATGAGTTGTCAGTCCGCCCCTGGTCCAGATTACCATCAAAACGTACAACATAAGAAAAAATTCATCCTACGTACTTTCATGTTGAATAATTCATTGCTCTTGCCAAAAGGGCATTCAGGTGGACTAAACACAAATTCTATGCTCGTGCGAACAAGCAATGCTGGCTCAGAAACTCATTTTGGTGGGTAGTTTCTATAAGCCTATACAGCTGCGCACTAGTCATGGTGACCTTACTTCTGCCTTTCCAAAATGACCTCTTTTTTTGATGACTTCTTACCCTCCCTGTGTAGCAAACCCTTTCCCCATTGATCGAGTGGATTGTCTTCCTCCCCTCTCTGAATCTGCCTGTGACTCTCTTAACACAGTAATCTCTGAATAAAGGGTTTCTCTTGCTATCAAGCTATCCATCCCTCCAAAGCTCCAGTGCCCAACGGCTTCTCAGGTTTGTATTAGAAGAAGCTTGCTCTGCATCTGGTGCCCCACCTGACGGCTTATTTCAATAGCCACAGAAATGGTGCAACACCCTCTTCAGATTCCTTGAAAGCTAACATTTCCATGATCCCCAAGACCAGTAAGGTAGCTGCCAAACCCATGGCCTTTTGATTGAACTCTCTTCTGAATGAAGATAACAAAATCCTTGGGAAGGTTCTTAGCACCCGGGTCAACCACCACCTGCGCATGCTTGTCCACAGGGACCAAGTGGGCCTTGTCACCAGCTGACAATGTTCGCAAGGTAATCCACCTAAGTCATTTGTTGAATTATCGCAAGATTCCAGGCTTCCTCCTCTCACTTTGACTCCCTCTCCTGGGATTACCTCCAATATGTTTTGAGGAGATGGGGCTTTGGCAATTAGTTTTTAGCGTGGATTATGGCCCTTTACTCTTCCCCGTCAGCTGTAGTGCGATACACGGGACACCTTTCCAACCCTTTCTCTATTTTTTGTGTCAACAGACAGGGCTGACCCCTATCTCTTTATTCCCGCCCTGAAACCCCTAGCCATAGCACTCAGGGGGCACCCCAACACTCAAGGGTCCAATATTCTGGAATGCACCACAAAATATCTATTTTTGTGGATGACCTTGACAAACACTCTTTTCACACATAACTTATAACTTGCAACATCTTCTTATGCAATACTCCAATATTTCTGGTCTCTGGATTAATCCCCACAAGACAACTACATATCACACTCCACCCATCTGTTGAGTCCCACATTCAATCCTGCTTCCCATACCATTATATAACATCTTTGTTGGACTATTTGGGCACTAAGTTGACCTACTCCTATGCCTCTCTCTTTAAGGCCACTTGTTATCTCTTGTTACATACTGAGATGGCTTTCATGCAATGATGGCAGTTCCCCACATTTTAGGCTGCATATATTCAGTCAAAATGATGATCTTGCCCAAATCCTTTTTTTCTTTCATATCCTACCAAAATGCTTTACTGCTTTCTTCCTGCGCCTTCTACAGAACATAGTTTTAATTGTTTATTTTGGCCTATACTGTAAATGCCCCAGAATAGCACGTTCAACCCTTTTAACACATAGGCTATGGGGAGGCTTGGGAGTCCCCAAAGTTGAGAAATATTACTTGGCAGCCCAAATGTCACAGCTTACCATGCTCCATGCAACACATGATGTCTCACTTTGAGTCCTCCTTGAACTTCCTAACTGTGTGCCAACTCCAGTATCAGCTTTGCAATGGCTCCCACATAGATCACGCCCATTACCCTTGAGCCCCCTGATGTTGCATAATCTGTGCCTCTTCTCAGGCAACCTTATTTCCCTCTTCCTGCCCTTGCTCCTGCTCCTGCATCATTATTCCCTTCGGGCTATAACAACCAGGGACTATTTCCTGGTGGACCTCGCACACAGGTATGCCACTTCCTCACAACCTTTCCATCTTGGCCATCCGTTAAAGAAACCTATCAAGCACTGTCCTTGGAACTTTTCTGATATCTCCAGCTATGCCATTGGTTGACACCTCTACTACGCATCTCCTCCTTCCTATTCCAAAAAATGGCCTAAGTGGATAACTGTTAACACTCTCCCATGCCTAGGTACTATTTCAGGGATTTAGTCTTCCCTGAACATGGTCGATACCTCTCAATCTGATGGATGTTTTAGGAGCAATGGCCAATGCAGAGATGTATTCCATATTTGGTGGATTTGCCCGTGCCTCACTAGATTTTGGTCAGGTACTTTTGGACTCTTGCATACTCTATTTCACTTACTAATCTGTAAGGATACAAATAATTTGTAAGGATGCATAGCTCTGTCCTGTTTAGGGTCTATTTTCCCACCAACAGAAACTGCCCATGTACTTTTCTCTTGTGACTAAGCGTACTATAGCCAAGGTATGGAAGAAACCCATGGTCTCATTTGCCGTGATGAAGGACTACACCCAGCCAGTTATGGCATCTTGTAACTTCCTAGTGGATTAACACTAGGGTCTGTGGGATTCCACCCCCCTTTTCTTTTTTTAATTTTCCTGCTCTGTACCCATAACTTTTCCTCTTCTGGCTTCTTTCCAGTACTTTCCTCACATATTCTTATACCTGGGTCTTTAGACTCAGCCAATTGTTTAGGCTGACAGCCTGTGTTGTTCAGTCTCTGCAATATTGTTCATTAAACTGTCATGCTCTGGCCCACGTTTTCGAACATTGCTCCTTGGAGGTGTTGACTATATATCTTCCTGAAGACAAGTTTTCTTTCACAATACATTTATAAGCCCAATTGTTCCTAGTGCTTTGACCTACAGTTAACACCTATAATAGCTCTACGGAAACATGTAAACCAGTCTGAGATTTTCCATGTTGTGGTCAGTACTCTGAGCAGATGGGAGGAAAGGTCAAAGTACAGTTGTCACATTACTGCTGTGTCACTCCAAAGTGGTTACACTGTGTCCTGTAATCTGATGAAGCCTCTGTGACAATGATGACAGAGAGGACTGTCTGCAGACTGCTGTAACCTATGAGATCACTCTTACTTGTTTCCAATTCATAATTATGCTGATCTTATTCTGAAAAACTGGAATTGGAGAAAACAAATGTTCGCTGCCCTATATTTTTTGCATCCTTGCTCTGGAACAGTGACCTAAACATATTAAATAATATGTCTGAGAAAAAAAATTACATATTCAGTGTATCTCTGCCATACATGCACATTTACTCATGCTTTATCATTTTAAAACAATGCAAGTACAGAAACACCTTTTGATCGGTCGGCCATAGACAGAGTGAATTTCCTTCCTGCAACCACTGGGATGCCCAGTTTGGTTTGAATCAATTGAAGGGGGACACTTCTTTCCTATGTACAAAGGCTGATCCTGGACTGTTCTTTTCTTGAAAGCTGTCAGTCATTGCAGATTAGTAGGAGCTGCCCTCCATGAGCGCGGAACTAGCAGCCCCTCAAAAATCAGCTTAGCTTCTCGTAGCCACATGCAGAGATATCTTCTCTCTCTGTATACTGCTCCCAGCTCCACAGGCTGCAAACACTACCAGCACTCCTGGGTTCTCGGAAGATCACCCAGGACAAGGAAAAAGGATTGAGCCCAGAGCTATCCTTAGAATGCTTGCCACGTGTGGCAGTCTTTCCCCTTGTAGACCCCAAAAAGTGCTGCTGTATTCACACTGTCCCCTTTCCTCCCTGCTGCTCCAGGTCTCGATCCCCTTCACACCTTACTGCTGAATGAACCCTCCCGAGCTAGCACATGCCCAGCCTGGAGGCCGCCCTCCCTGCAGGCCCAGGGGATCCCTCCCAGTCTCCTCAGGACTCCATCTTCCACCCGACTCCTCTGTCAGCCTGACTCCCCCATATTTATGGGCCAGTCCACCACTCTACCAGGTCCTCCAAACCTGGGATTGGCTGGACTCCCATAAACATACAGATCACTTACAGACTCCTTGGACTCCAGTTTCACAGTGTCAGAACCTTTAGGCCAACCCGGCAACACTGCAAGCACATTTTCAGAGTCTAGTGCACCCTCCAAGTGAGTCACCAGGCCCTTCTGAGAGACCAGTCTACATCTTTGCTCTCTTAAGCAAGGGGCCTCCCCTGGATCTTCTCACCTTCCTCCACTCCAGGCAGGATAGCCTCAGGACCACTTCAAAGCAGGAAGGCCTAACACAGAGCTATCTCCAGCAGCATCTCCTCAGGCCTCAGCCTGAGGCAAGAGAGCAAGCACATGGCCCATCCCAAATGTATATATCTGTGGCACCCTCCTAGTTGGGTGCTAGGATGTGCATAGTTAGATTAAACATAGCTGTATTTCTCTGCTTACTAGAGAGGCTGTCAGGTAAATTCAGTGTGGCATTCTGCGTAACAGTGCTGTGATTGATTAGTTAGGTCTGCTCATGCTGCTCTGGTGCTGTTGGAGTTTGTCTGAGTTCTGGCCACCTTCAGGAAGCTATGAGAGCCTTCCAGAACATGAGTATTGACTAGGCAAGTGCACAGCATGAGTATGGATACAGCCCTGGCCAATTGCAGGGGAGGATTTCCCCATTGAATGCTGGGAGTAGTATTTATATTCAGGGAGCACATGGGTTCAGTGTCTTTCCCAGAAGCTGATTGCACTAGCCAGGCGGTCTCGCCTGGCCCATGCTGTCATGTGGCTTCTGGTGGGCTAACCGGAGGCCTGAAGTTAGAGAGAGTGACCCTGGTTCTTCAGTAAGCTGACTGAGGGGAGCTGTCTGTCAAAAATCTGTTTGGT